ACTTACTTACTTACTTACTTACTTACCATACTTACAATACGGGTTACTATCATTAGCACTCTAGTACTCTACCTACAACACAATTTTACACTTCCTACAATATAATCAATCAGTAGACAGTGCAGTTCTTACTGACTACAAAATTTTCTATTTAAGCAAAAAAAGCGATAGACCACTCTTTCTATGGGTTTACTGGCGCAATAAACCACGCGGGGTGTTGGGAGAACACGAGAAAAGCTTGTAAATCACGAGCCGTTAGGCGAGGATTTCCAAGTGTTCTCCCAACATCCCAAGTGGTTTCAGTATTGCGCCGGTAAAGCCATAGAAAGAGTGGTCTATCGCTTTTATGAAATAACTATATAAAACGTCTGTCAATGAGAGGAAAATTTATTGTAATTTGCTGATCAAGTTGCTTATTCTCATCAAATTCATGAGATGACCAATCATAGCAACGGAAAGAATGAAAGCACAGGCTCCGCGCCGGACATGAAATCCGTCGAGGAAAGCGACGAAAACATTTCACGCTAAGAACGTTTTAAGAAAGGAAAGGAAAAGGTTATCGGTTAAAGGGAAAAAGTGTATTAATTAACGTAAACGTATTCTGACGGGGAAATGTAGGGATTCGTAGGTGGAATCGGTCATCACGAAAGTAAAAGGCTGTACGAAAAGTGTGCAAGCAGTCCAAACTTCATGTGCTTGGCGAAGTGATTCAACGCAGTGTTAAACGATAACTTTCCAAAGTTTTGCGAAGGAATTAAGGTTAGTAATAGAAAAGCTGCTTCCGAAATTTATTCAGAATTTATGTACATATGCTGAAGGCTATGAAGTCCGTGTTTCTCTGTATCTTGCTAGATGCCTAAAAGCTAAGCTTATGCCGGGAAATTAAATTCATTTATCGTGTTCTGCATGGATGCATTGGGTTTAAACTCAAAATGTCTGATAGAAAGAAATCTTTTTCCTGCTTTTTAGACAACCCAAATTGATCAGTCAAGTCCAGCTGGTTCTCTTCTCCACAGTCCGTGGAAAGCACCGAAAAAAGTGGGTAAAACTTCCTTAATTTAAATCTCAAGCGTAAGCGGAATCGGCGTAATTTTTTTGCCGTGGTAAAAAAAGGTAAAGCTTTATATGACGACCAAGTTCTGGTCCGTTTTTCTCCTTGCAAATTTCCTTGTATATGTTGAATGAAAAGATATTCGTGTTATTGATATATCAGCCAGTGAAAGGCAAAACTGTTTATCACATTTGTTATCGCTAGAGTTCCGAGTTGTCTAGTTGCCGCGTAGAGCTGCCATAGATCGGAAGCCGTGGTTTACCGGTACAATTGCCGGTTTTCACGTGACGTCATCAATTTCCAAAATAAGAAATTACCAATCCTCGTGAAGTTTTAGTTTCATCAGATGTAAGACCCTCTAATAACTTGACGTTTTGCAACGTTTAAGTCCAACAGGGTTCCTCATTATGTAATGGAGCACGTCGGAATTTCCAAATTTATGCGTTGCGTGACATTAAAATGCGGCTAGATAAGGCTGTCGAGTAAGTCAAAAGATGAGTTATTGCTCAAGTTTTTAACTATTTAGTTTTCAACTAAACAGTTCTTGCTCTAGACAAAGTATTAATTTCAATGTATTGGAGCTCTAGAGTAATAACGTTTCGTTTCAACGGTAAAACTCAATGACAGATGTTTCTGTTACTTTACGGCCGCCATGTTTGTGTCCCTCCGAGGGGCACAAACATGGCGACACCATACAAAGCTCTATAAATTTTAGTGAAACACTTTTCCGAATAACGCGCGGATGGAAAACCGTACAGACTTAAAACTTAGCGAGGTTATTTATATATCAATCATCTTTCATATCTCAGCTTCTTGACTTATTTTATTGAATGGTTACGATTTTTATTTTTGATGGCGTGACACTGCAAACCAGCCATAGAACATACGTTTGGCAACTCTATTGACCAATCAGAGCGTGCGTAGTATCTAACTTATCTTATAAATAGAAATAAATCATAGGGCGTATTATGTCGCTTTTAGGGGTTAAGAACATGTTAATAACAGAAAAGCGTTTATAGTATTGCTTTAATAAAACATCTATATATAAAAATGACTTTGTTAAACCCTGACAGTCATGGCTGACACGCTTGACTAACTAAACTTAGTAAGACTTAAAACCTCGTATACTACTTCCAACCACATTGCTTAATGTTTCTCTACGACTCTACGCTGAGCTTGCAAAAAATCAAGCACTATCTGGTTTCAAGCAACGTCTCGCTAAGACTAGACATCCTACGTAAGCAATGTTTCACTAACACTAGTTACTACTCGTTCATACAAGGCCAAAGTGGTATTTACATTTTGGTATCCAGGAGGGAACGCTTTGTAAAGGTCGCTTTGCTCCTAGTGTTGGTACCCACAGAAGATCTTTGTTGTCTGAGATTTCCCCCACGGCAGCATCGGATCATTTTGGTGAAGGCTGCTTTCATCTTTCCGTTCAGACCAATGTACAACCATGGATTTATGGCGCTGTTAGCCTGACTGAGCCAGTAGCAGAAGTAAATGAGGGAAGGCGGCCATAATGCTCCCCTTTTTACAGATTTGTCCATCTGATACACATGCACTGGAAGCCAACAGACTGCGAACACCACCACAACAATGATGAGCATTCGGATGACTTTTTTCTTGGGGATTTCCTGTTGTCGTTGGTGTACAGGTACTTCATCATCCGCAGGCATTTCGTGGAGCCACAGTTTTCCAGCAACTATGATGTAGAGGCTGGAGATGACGGCGAGAGGCAGGAGGTAGTCGATAACAAGGATGAAACTCCAAAAGGCCAGATGCGATAGAACAGTATCATAAAGGAAGCAGACACCATTCACGGGTTTGTAGGAAACTGGTACGATTGACATCAAGACCATGGATGAGATCCAAAGAACTGGCGTGATGATCTTAGGCTTCCTGAACCAAATGCTACTTCGGAAAGGATGCACAACAGCAAAGTATCGATCAAATGCCATCACAGCGAGACAGAAAATGGAGGCGGTAGTCGACACGAACGCAGAGTAATAGAAAAACTCGCAGGGTATCTGAATATGGTGGAAATAAAAAATAGCTATGCTGATAGGCATCTGAAACACTGCAACCAGCAAATCAGCCACCGCCATGTTAACAAACATAAAACTTGTCAGATTTCTTGTTCCAGGTTTCTTCCACACGATGTAGATCAGCAGTGTGTTGCCAGCCAAAGCTACGATCATTGTTATGGCGTAAACTATGGAGAAGCTCACTTCAGTGATTCCTGTCATATTCTAAAAATAAAAGAGAACAGACCTTTGCTTTGAGGTTGCATGAAACGCTTTAAACTTTGACATCTCGTCAAGAAAGTTTGCAATTACGGGCGATAAGCATTAGACTATTATTTTTATGACTTTTTTTCCCTTTATATATCTTCTGGAGAGTTTTCTCTCTAAAGATTTTCGGTATACCGCAAATGACCATAATTAGTTCACGCCGCTTTACGGTCGGATGTTTCATGCTAACCCCAGTAGTATTAAGAATTGTACATTACGAAGGTACATTCATTAAAATTAAAAAAAAGTTTAGGTTTTCCGAATAGAGCGCCCTATTTCCCAAAGTACAGAGGTTCACTAATCAAGTTCGTTTCCCTTCGGATTTGAGCGGGAGGACGCGATCAACATCGCTATGTCTTATTGACACCTTTCTCCAAAAAAACGGGAAATTTTGATTACTTGTCTGGTTTGCTGCTGACACGCAGTTACACTTTGATTTTGATAAAGCACGCATTCTCTTCACTAAAATAGTCATCTTTTGAAAGAAGCAAAAATAAAAATTTCCCGACAAAGTTTTTTCACCTGATTATCGGGCAACATTTTCTAAATTTTAGCGAAAAACGTTGAAAATGTGTCGGAAACGAACTCAAATTGTACGCTTCACTAACTGAAATTTTCGTTTCCAGATACAAAGGAAAATATACTTTGAGGCGTTCTTCCGGTTTAATAAGATAATTACTCAAAACGTGTGAAAATAACGTCGCGTTGATTTACCAAGTGAAGGCTCACTTTACTTAAAAAACAGAGCTCATATCAATTACAAAGGAGTCTTATATGTTGCCTCTGGCGCGAAATACCCTTATGCAAGATCTGAAATCCACCGCTCGTGCGCCCAGGTTAGTAAGAAAATAATTTTCGCTTCTGTATCTTCTTTTCGACTTTCAAAACGCCTTAGTTTGGAGATGCCGTAGATAACGAAAGAGCCCACCCGTAACTTAATCAACGTAAAGAAAACCCACGCGATACCGATTAAGTTGAAATGTTTAATACTGTTATCGCTTCGAATAGCAAAAGCGCCAAGGAAGAAATGCTTAGAAAATGTCAAACGTCTTCCTCGTCCAAGTGGAAGCAACTTCTCCTGTTCGAAGCAGAAACCTTTGTCGCTAGCAGCTAACCTAGCCTAATCTGATCGAATGTTTTTTGAAATCTTTTCCCCGGACTTTTTCCTCTGTGGTGCTTTCCTCGAACTTGCAAATGAACACGAACTTTTGCGTTTCTTCGACGACATATTTTTAAATTTTTAAACCAACAATTTAGAAACGGAGAACACCCAGTCCGGTAGTCGTTGACACGCGGCAATTTGTCACGCAGCTTTTAATGCAAGGTTACATGTTCTTCTCGTGACAACCCGTTGACAGCTACAATTAGAGATAATTAATGCAAAAAAACGTTTTTGGTTTGTAACTTTACGTATTATATGGAGAAGAGTGTTTCACTGGGAACTAAACCACTCGTAGATTCCATACGCCACTTCATCCGGGACCCGAGTGGCGTATTTTCCGTATGTCACCTTTGGGAGTGTCGTATCGTTCAATGAAGTCACGATTCCCGCCTTTTGCTTTTGTTGAATTGGTTTCTCCATATAATAAAAAGAACATTACACGTTGGCTCGAAGATATGAATTTTATGTTCTCGTGGCAAGAACACAAAATTCATATCTTCTCGCCACCGTGTAATATCCTCTATATATATAGAATCAATCTTTTTGCATACAATTGTTTTTTAAATGACAGATCGTAATAAGTTATAATTGAAAAAGCCAAAAACAATTTCCTTTGAAAAACTGTCAATTTTGGGGTATACTGATACCTTAATGTCTGCTAAAAGATAATTCCAGAAATACGATTTCAAACGATACTTGCACAGCAAAAATTGTTCCCGACATTTTGACATACACATTTGTAGGTTTTTAAAAAAATCGCTCTGCTCTACATTGTCCACCAAAATTGCAGCTGTTGACGTCAAGTTTTGGCAGAATTGTTGTCGAACACAAACACAAATACTGCGATCTGATTGGCTGAGAAATCATGCACTATAAGCTATTTTATAATAACTGCAAAAATTCTGGCGCATTCATTGGTTAATTTTCATTGCTAATAAGCGCAGTGACCCACGAATTTCTGGCGTTGTGACTTAATTCATTTTGGCCCTTCTGCCTTTTTGTTATTGTTTAAAAAAAAAACAAACAAACAAATTAACGTCAGTTTTTCACTTGTCTGTCCTGGCAAAGCAGTCTGCGGATCCACTTTACCGTTACCTCTTTCTCACATTTTACATTTGGCTTTCACGTCTTTAATCTAAAGAAGTTGAAAATGATTCAATATGATTTTTGAACTGGCGCGCAGAAGAAAATTCAGTGATGAACAATAAAGAAAAAAGAGTGTTTATGTCTCGGAACCATCATTCTTATAGTCGCCTCTTGGAGATTCGATGTTCTTAAAACTATCATATTTGCCCTTGAAGCTTCTTCTCTCAGTGTTTTATGAACATTAAATTTCAGCGGGGCAACTATCAGTCGATTGTTCCTCTAACACTCTATTGTTTAAATATGGATGCTTATGGGTAACTATCAGACGATAGTCCAAGCTTAGCGAAGTGGCTCACAAATCGCAGCATTCTCCTACGGATTTGTGGATGGAGATGAAAGGAATTCAACATTACATGCTGATCTCAGTCAGAATATTGCCCGAAGAAGAAGTTTTCGGCTAGAAACTACGGTAAATTTTAGGATAGGAAAATAAAGCCAGGTTTTAATTTCTTGTTTTCCTTTTCTTTTTTTGCACTCTAAATAAACAATGGAGAGTTTCTTGGACAGAATCTATAGGCTGATAGTTGCCCGCGGAAATTTTATGTTTTAAAACATGGATATCAGCTTGAGGCAGGAGCCATAATCGGGGACGGAGACCGTAAGCGCGCGCCATTTCTAGTATTGGGGCTGTCCCCATGATATGGGACAATTTTTCTATTTTTAGACCAAATTGAGCCATCGCCTGCGGCAGACGCGCGTACATGCTGCGAGGATTTTTGCAGATGTCGCGCGGGGGACATGGCGTCCTAAATTCCCGAAATTTTTCATCTTTTTGGCCCACAACTCAACGCGTTTACGTCTGTTGGAATTTGGCTTAAATATTTTAGTCGTAAACTGCTCCAGTTGGAGTGAAGTAAGACAGTGTCGAATTTAGGTATGTTCCGCTGTAAGCTTACATATATCGCTGACCAAGTTGTGTTCCGATGCTACTTTTACATGAGCTGTGCATTACTCCACTGTAAATTTCACATATGTTGAAGATTAACAGCTTTTCCATGACACAGCAAAACACTACCTGGATATATTTAGATGTAGCAGAGTTTCAGGACTTCATAGTTTCCTAGCTCCTCTTACCACACGCTTGCGAGGAATTTGCC